CTTTGTTTACTAGCAAGTGCAAAGTAAACTTTGCAGAACTGCTGGAATTGCACTTAATGTTGACTTACATACAGACACTTCCATATAGCACTGAAGTAGTTTAGATTCTTGATGTTCTGCATTTTCTATGCATTTGTACCTTTATATGTCATTAAAGTATCATTAGTTCCTTTTCTAAATCCAAACTGAAACACAGCATTACTGTTTTGCATCTATACCTTGGCTATTCTTATCTGAATAATTAAAAAGTCATGTTTATGAAACTCAAGCTGCCCTGAGAGATCATTAATATTACAACAAAACCAATCCTGGCAGCAGTCAGGGATTGTTTCAGAAGGATCCTGGAAGCCTGCTGGTGATGAAAAACCTTTTCTTCATCCTCTCATAAACTCAGACCTCACTGCAAAACCCATTAAATTATGTCATTGGCAGTGAAGGGCTCAGTAAGTCTGGGCTACTTCAAAGAGAAGAAAGCACTTCCATACCATGGGATGATGATCCCAGCAGCACTCAAAGTGAGAGCCCAGCCTGAGCTGGGGACAGCCAGTCCCTGTGCAAGGGCACAGCAAGGTGCGTTCACTTCAGGCAGAACAACCTGTAAAACCAACCCACCCTGATTCATGGAGCTGTTCAAAGCTCCGTGCTGCCCAGCCTTTGAGCACTTGGAAGAGAGGCAGTGAGTAGGAGCTATGGATGACACCAGTGCGGGAAGTAAGTGAAAAATGGGTGGCCCTATTGATAAAAATGGGAGCAGGCTCCCGGTACTAAAGTGATTTCAGTATTTATTATAAGAAAAAGAAAGGCCCAAAGCAAGGGGGCCCGCGGCCCGAGCAGGAGTGTTCCCGTCGAGGATGCTGCAATGCCAGCGCTGGGGCTTCTTGAGCAGCGATGGCCCCGATGTCCCAGATGGAGCAGCACAAATCCAGTGGCTCAGAAGCCCCTTTTTATCCTGTTTTTTATCCCTTTGGATTGGTTTCTTTTGGGATCCTTCATTTTCATGAAGGTTTAAGGCGCTTGATTGGCCCATTACAGGCTGGCTCGTATCGCTTGGGGCGGATGCACTTTACTTAGGTGTATTATGGTACATTAAGAATTTCTTAATACATTAAGGTATTTCTTAAAACTACCTTTTTAACCTCTTTTACAATATAATAACCAAACTAACAGTACATGCTTAACGATCTATCAGCTATTTTACAACAGTTTCTAACCCATTTTTAACCCTATTTCTTAAAGCCCCAGAGAAGACCTGGTGAGTGAAACTCTGTTGTTCAAGCCCAGCTGGCAGCAGGACATAGAAGTAAACCTGTGGTAAGCATGAGCTCAGTGCATGAGCTCTGATTTTTAAAAAGCTGACTTAGTTCTGAGCTAAAACACAGATGGGACAGCTTGTGCACTGGCACTCCACAAAGTCCCATCACAAACCACTGGGTTCAGACTGTGGTTTCCACCCGATGCCACCTTCGTGGGCAGCCTGCCATGGTAACCTCAGGCTTTTTTAAAGATGTGCATCAAACTCAAGGACATTATAGGGGAAAAAAAAAAAGGTAATGAAGATCAAGAGTCTTTATGCCAATGTAACATTCTAAGTGCCTTCCTGCCCCCAAATCAAATTGCAGGCTTCAGAAGAAAAATCTGACTTGCTATATAACAAGGTCAGATTTATGGTAACTAGAAAAATCTACTTATTTTATTCTGTTACTCTCTCTTCCTTTAGGCAGCTGCAGTAGAACAGATAGAAGTGTACTTTAATGTATTCGGTCTTTTGCTCTGTGAGATGTATCTGAGGGATGACTGTTCCAGTCTGTGTTGCACTCAGTGTGTCTTTGCAGCCAGACAGACTTTGAGTGCATCACTCTTAGCTCTCATTTTCCCCACTCAAAAAAGAGAACAGTGATAATGAAGCAAACATGCTAAATTAGCTGGATTTCCACCCTCCCTAAGTGAGACAGCAAGGCAGCTGCCAGTGCAGTGGGCATCACTTGTGAGCCTCTCTGAGGCAAATTTGGGAAAATCAGACCATGTCTCAGGAACCACCCAGACTGTGGCACCTGCAATGCACAGGAGCAGAAAACAATACTCAGGTTTGTGGACATTGCTACCAGCTAATAATCCTCCCTAATACAAGTTATTGCCACAGGCAACAGTGCCTGAAGGAATGGACATTACATTCTTCTGCAGCCAGGGAAAAAGCAGGCTAAGGACACACTTTTTGCTTGTTTGTCTGTCAATAAACTACCAGACTGCCAGGCCAAATGGATTCAATATCTGCTGGCAGAAATCTATGAAACCTGAAGGAAGAAAGGCTGGCAGAGCACCACTAGTGACCCAACCTAGTGTGGGACAGGTATGAGGGTACTTGTGTTCTACCCATGCTCTTTATTTGCTGTTAAACTCTGGCAAACAAGATGTGACATTGGGACCTTCACCTTTTAAATGGCCAGGTCTGGTCAGCACCATGCAGATTGTAATCTACCTCTAAAAATGCTGTTTATAAGCAGGACAGCAGGGCTGCTGGGGTTTCCATGCAGATCTGTATCTGACATACCATGAGGTACATGTGCTGTTGCTGAGGCTTCCACACTGTTCCAGGAGGCATCATTGTGCTCTGGGCTCTTGCAGCTTCCAGGCAACACTGCAGCCAGAATGGGATTAACACAGCATAAAGTCCTCCTCTGAAAGAGGGGTAGCAGTGCCCTTACTGAGCAAGTGCTAAACACCTGGCTGAAGTCCTGCTCTAAGAATCCTGGGGCAACCAGGCATAAACTGGGCTACCAAAACACAGCATTGATCTTCAGAGCATAAACTGCAGTAGTGCACCCAGGTTTGCCTGACTTTTCTGGGTCTGCACCAGGACCTTCCCTCTCTGCTCTCTCTACCCCACAGGTCTCACTTGTGCTGGCCATTGATAAAAACACAGATTTCAGGATAACTCATTTGTCTCTGAAAGTCAAGCAGTGGCAGCAGCTGGGATGTGGATGCCCAGGACCTCTCCCTGCCCTCACAGATACTTAGATCCCAGCTGTAACTGGATTCCTCTTATCAGTAACACAGCAAGCAATTCCCATGCAGGAACAAAAGCTGAGACCAGCCACCAGGCTGTGACAGTCCAGATTTATTAGGCTGTCTGCCACTTGAAACAAATCTTCGGCCTGAGATTTGCAGGTGCTGTAGCAGAGAAAAAGCACTTTCCTTCTTTGTCTCTTCATCGCCCTGTCGTAAGAATTTAAAAAAAACTGTATGCTGCAAATGATCAGCTGTGGCATGAAAAAGCTGCTGCTCTCACCTTCCACTCTTGTTTCATTACCTGTGCATCACCTGTCATGTGGGATAGCTCAAAAGCTGTGCAGAAGCTGCTCAGCCAGCACCTTGCAAAGGATGAGTGGAGGGCACAACCTGTATGTGGAATGAGATTTACTGGGAGGACCTCTCTGACCCCATTGACTCCTGAGAGCAGAGTATCAGCACAGTATTGAACACATACTTGCATGGCAGCCCGTGGCTACTGAGTATGTGTAAACAACAAGCTCAAAGTGAGGAACAAAACAAAATGCTGCAAGGAGCTGCTGCAGGAAAGTTGCAGAGCACAGCAGCCTTCCCTGGTGAGTGCAGGCAGGAGGCAGAGACAGTTCATAGAATCACAGAATCATAGACTGTCCTGAGATGGAAAGGACCACAAGGGTCACAGAAGAAGAGCTCCTGGCCCTGCACAGGACAACTTCAAGAATCACACTTGAGAACTTCTTGGTCTCTGCCAGGCTTGATGCTGTGACCACTTCCCTGGGGAGTCTATTCTAGTGTCCAAACATCCTCTAGGTGAAGAACCTTTCCCTACCATCTAACCTAAACCTCTCCTGACAGTATCAAGTTGCTCTCATTGACATTGCACAGAAAAATTAAACGCAAAACTGGCTACTGCTGGCACTAGGAGAAGTCACCATATGGATCTGAACTTCATGAGTTTGTTCAAGGACCTCCTCTTCCTCATTCGCCTCCTTTGTCCCACCTGTCCCGCATCCTGAGGTAAAGCATCTAAAAAGTCCTGGTCACAGACTTTGTCCATCCCTACTGGACACTGTAAACTGGTGCATTTGTGTTAAGGATAAGGTGATTTCTCTTACCCGATGCCATAATAAAATATCCAACTTGTGGGAGCATTTTGGAGCAGTGGAGCAGCTCTGTACACATCACAGCATTTGACAAGGGGCTGTTTAGGCAGTGGTATTACCCAAACCACAAAGGGCACTGTTTTGGGGTTGGTGTGATATGCAGAGCTGAGGAGGTTTGGCAGAATGCAGGTGTAGTCCTGCTCATGCCATCATGGGATACCCAAAGATCCTACTGCAGCAGGGAGGCTGGAGGCCAGGGAATGCTGGGCCCCTCAGTGCCAGTAAAATTTCATGACCTTGTGGGACAAGGGATTTGCTCTGAAGCCATTTTGCTTCCCTGTCTGCTCACAGGGATGTTTTCCTCAGTCACCTCATCGAGCACCAGACTAATAATAAGAAAATCGCGGCGGTGTTTGCAGACACAGTGTGGCAATGCTCAGCTGCGACCGGGGGCGGAGGCGTAGGGGGGTGGCTCTTTTTGTCCCAAATACCGGGTGAATGCGAGGCTTCTGTTCCTCCAGGAGCAGCAAGGCGATGCTCGGACCGCGGCCAGTCTGACAGGGCAGGCTCCCCACCGTGGAACCGAGCCTCCTCGCCCTCAACTCCGCACAGCGGCTGCCGGGCCCGGGGCACTCCGCAAGGGCAGGGCAGGACACACCCGGCCGGGTCCACCCCATCCCCTCCTTCTCCTTCTCCTCCCCATCCCCTCCCTTCGCAGCGCGGTCGCGCAGCCGCGCAGCGCCGGCCGCGGGAGCTGCCGGAGCCGCCCAGCGCGGCGCGGCCCTTCCCCGCCGCGGGGCCGGGCTGGGCCCGGGGGCCGGGCCGGGCCGGGCAGGGCAGGGCAGGGGGCTCGGCGGCTCCGCGGCGGGGGATGCGGGTGCCGGGCGCAGGATGCTGTGGGGGGTGGGCCTGGCGGCGCCGCGCTCCTGCGTGGCGGACCTGAGCCGCAACCGCAGCCTGTCGCTGGGCTGGTGCGCGGGGCCCGAGGAGCCGCCGCCCGCCTTCTATGGGGGCGAGATCGTCGCCTTCCCGCTGTCGGGCGGCGGCGGCACCATGGCGGCGCTGGGCTCCGACTCCTGGTGGAAGAAGACGCTGTACCTGACGGGCGGAGCCCTGCTGGCCGCCGCCGCGTACCTGCTCCACGAGCTGCTGGCCATACGGTGAGGCTGCGGGGCTGCGGGGGCTGCGAGTCCAGGGCGCTCCCCGCGGGGCCGGCGCGGCGCTCGCAGCCGCTTATACCTGAGGGGTCAGGTTGGCGAGGGCCGGCGGGTCGGGGTCTCCCCTTCACCATTTACCTTCTTTGCCAATGCTTCTGCCATTTACTTTTCTTTCCCCCCCATTCGCCCTTTGCAGCAGCGCAGGAGGCGGCTCCGCGGCGAGCCCTGCGCTCGCCCCCACAGGTGGCCCGGGCTGGGCCCTCTCGCTGCCTCCGGACCCGGCTTGCAACCAAAACCTGCAGCAAAACCCCTTAAGGGCTGACGAGAGGGTTGCCAGCGCCGCGGTTTCTCCTTTGTCTGTTTGATGTACTGATGTATCGTGCACCTGTCCGGTTTGGCTTGGTTTTCTTGTTTGTTTGTTGGTGGGTTTTAATTTTTTTTTAATTCTGTTTTTTTTTTTTGTTTGTTTGTTTGTTTTTTGTCAGGAAAGAGGAAGAGCTCGATTCGAAGGATGCTATCATACTGCATCAGTTTTCAAGGCCTAGGAATGGCGTTCCGAGTTTATCCCCATTCTGCCTGAAAATGGAAACGTACTTGAGGATGGCTGATTTACCCTACCAGGTACATCGTGCAGTTTGCCTTTGCCTTGCAGCTCTCTGTAATTGCATGAAATGGCACATAGGCGTCCTGCCTCTCCTTCCCCCAGTCTGTCTCACCCAGGGAGATGTAAACATACACCTACTGCTAGGTGGGTTTGCCAACGTTTTTATGTCTCCAATTAAATTTAGTGTATAACCTTTAAAGATATGACTTGAATAAGATTATCTGGAACAGCTGTAGACTTAACTGGTGAAGCTAAATCAATGTTAAAATGCTGAAGTGGGAGAATAGTCTGGAGTTTATGTAACACTAAATAGCACCCCAAAACTAAAGCAGAAGACTATTTGATCCTTGAATTTCACCATGCTAAAGACATCATGATTAGACAGCTGCAGGTTCTTGTTTTTCTGGAGGCCTTATCTCTAAAGCTGTCTGGGAAGAAGTGTTTACCTTTTGCTTCCCCTCCTATGGCTAATGCTTCCTCCCCAGTGAAGTGAGATAGGATTGCTTTTAGAGGTCATGAATACTGCTCCTTAATTGTGGTTGGGTGCATCCCATACCATCTTCCTGCAGGGAAGGAAGCCTGAGCTACTCCAGTGAAAGAAAGCTGTGAGAGTGGACACTTGAATCTCATGGTCTTGCCCGTTAGCATCGAGGTTGAGCTGGGACACTGCAAGTGTGGCACACATCTTGTGGTGTTGGCAAGCTGTGCAGCACCCAGGCTCTTTGAGACATGAGATGGTTTTCTTCTTCTGTGTGTGTTAAGCACTGAAGACCTTTAAGATGATAAAATAATGATGATATATATAACTAAGATCTTAGGTAGAAGAAGTGTCTGGACTTTTTTTCCTTTTTTCTTCTCCCTCTGTTTTTTCCTCAGTAATATAAATTTGGCTTTTTATTCCATACCAACGTGTTAAGAAGAATATTTTGTATAAGTCAAATGTTGTACAGTGGAAAACCAACCCTATTGCACCTTTTTTTTAACACATTTGCCATCGATATTTAGCTTCATATGTGGCTAAACTCCTTTACATTGGAAGAGAAAGAAAGTCTAATCAGTACATTTTGCTTAATTCTTTAAAAGCCTGAGTTTAATGTTTTCTTAAAATTCAGTGGGACTTGAATCAGATACTTGGGAGTACTAAACAGGAAGACTTCCATCCTGTGGGATGTATTTTCCTTGTTTAGGTTTACAGAACTTGCAAGATTCTGAAGGTTGAACATGTCATGGAAGCAGGAGGGCTTTGTGCACATTGCTTTTCTCAAAATAATTTGGGTAGAAATTGCACGTTTGAGGGGATGACTTTTTTGGTCAGATCTGTTTTCTTTCTAATGGCAGCTGATGCAATTCAAAAGTTTGTGATGGTCAGGTTTGCTCTGGTGGAGAGTAGGTAAAGAAAGCTGCATTATAAAAGATGGCTGTGACTGGACATGGTCACTTCTGAAAGATAACACAGCATTTGTGTGGTTCAGGATGGAGTTGTTTGGAGAGCTCATGCTGGTCAGAAATCACACAGCTTTTTGAAGAGAAGAATTTCCAGAGGGTTATCCTCCCCTCTTTAGTTTTTGTACTGAAGATCAGCATTACTTTTTGGTGTTGCATGTCTCTCACTAGCTGTGAATACACAAAACTGACAAGACCATCAAAAGCAACATGCCTACTTCAGCTCTTGTCCCTTCCTGCACATGATTTTCTGTGGCAGCTCAGGCTGATCAGAGCTGGCCTAGCTAGAGCCATGACATTTAGTTTATTTAGTTTTAACTCAGCTTGGTTCCCCACATGCTCTGTGTGCCATTTTTTAGGAGCAGGAATGGGTCCTGTGGGTGCTGGGAACACCAGGATGATGCTTTTAGCTGTGCTGGCTTACATGGGCTTAAGGTGTTTGTGGGGTCACTGACCCTCTGAAGGGTTATAGAGGTAAGTTTGGTGGAGCTGAAGACACAGCTCTTTTTTTCTGGAAGAAGCAGATATTGTTTCTGTCCTTGTGTTAGGAGTGTGGTGCTGCACTGGGCTCTGTCGAGTGGAGGAAAGTATGGCTGCTGCTGTGGGATTGGGTGGGAGGGGAGCTGAAGAGGGCATTGGTCTTGGCTGGAGTCTCTTATACTCTTCCTGTAGACTTTTATCTTGTTCCCTCATGACTGTGCTACCCTTAGGATGCTGTAGGTGATCCAATGGCTGCCTGGCAGGCAGCAGGGTGGGTGTGAAGGGGGATCAGCAGGATCCAGAAGGAAATACCTTGCTTCCCTGCACACTGTCAGGGCCCATGATGGAGAAGTGCTGCAGGTGGCAGCTGGTGCTCAGCCCAGGAGACCTGCAGTGGTCATCACCTTGCTGGGGAGGGACTGCTTTGAAGGGAGGGTGAAGAGAAGACAGTGAGGTGCTCAGACAGCTTTTGCACTTTCGATTCCTTGTGTTTATTGTGGTGCATCAGACTGTTGAGTATTGTGCTTTGTGTTATGCAACGTGCTTTCATGGCATGTGAGGGTTGGAGTAGAGTGATGTATTCCTACCTTACTCTCACCTGAATTTCTCCCAAAACATACAGTATTGTTATGTGCCTATGTTTTCTGGGATCTGCCTATCTATGTGTGAGTTTCCATGAAAAATGATTTGGGCAGCCCCACCCCAGCTGGGCTGTCATAATCCCTAGCTGTGTTTTCAAAACATTTGATGCTTTTCTTGGTAAAGCTTGCTTTGAAAGAGCCCTGTCTGTGTGCTCATCAAGATCTTTTGGGTATTCCCTCATTTCATCAAGAATATGAAGAGCTGAGCCTTTATGTAATCTGATAAATAATTAGCACAGCAGGAATGTGCTGTTTTCATGCCAGGTCTGTGGAAATGGCAGCCTCCTCAGGAAAAGACATGAGTGAACGTAAAATCATAAACAGGAGTAATGGAAAATGTGAAATCTAATTTCTTCTGTATAGTACTGTAAAATTACCCTAGAAATACCTTGTGCCATTCTTTTTGAAAATTCCTTATGAATGAGGTTCTGTAGAGCTATTGTTATTGTTGCTCTGCAGGCACTTAATGTACTGTGAGTGAAAAGGGATATTCTTTTGGTTTGTTTTTGGTTTTTAATAATACTGTAGCTTTTTCCTGCTTAGCAGCTGGAACAATTTTTAAGTGGAAAATTGATAAATATTTGATAGCAATTAGTATCAGCCGTAAGGATGCAGAGGTTTCAAGCCTAAAAATGTCTGTTTGAGAACAGTGGATACAAAAACAATAGAACAGATTTCTCAAGAGACTAAGATTTTTCTTAGGTCACTGAAAGATATTTCCTATTTTGTTTGATAAACCGTATGTAATGAAACACAAAAATATTTTTAGGCAATGTATTTATATGTATTAGATATATGTGCTTGAAGAAATGTGCAGCTGAGTAATAACTTCCTTTTTTTCTGGGTTGCAAATGGTATGGACTGCAGTAATTGGAAGATGTAATAAACACATCTTCAAGTCCAGTAGCTTCTGCAAACCACCAGTGTTTGTGCACAAGAAGGGAAATATCTTAATGGAAGGGCTTAATGAAGATTAAGCCAGCAATGCTCAGGATCTAAGCATGCTGTGTAGTTCCAGGAAAACCTTGTGCTTCTGTAGTAAAGTCATAATGAAGAATTATGGAAATGTATCAGTCAGTTTCAGTGCTGAAAGATCATTTTTGATGAAGGAGAGGTGTTGGAAGGTGGAAGGACAGGGCAGTGCTCTCCCTTCAGTTTCAGACATTCAGCAGTTTTAGAGCTTGTGCCATGGGATTGGCCCCCTGTGTCACCCACACATGCCAGTGGGAGGGATTCAGGTGCTTTATTCATCCACACAGGGGTGAGGTGGGTCACACATGGTATCATCCGGTGTCCCTGCCATGCTGTTTGTTGGGGACAGGCCCTGGAAAGGCTGCAGCCAGAAGGCATTGCTTCCCAGAGGTGTTACCCGTTTGTTTCCATCTGGAAGGAAGAGCCTTTGGGAACAGCTGCATGATCCCAGTGCATTGCACATCTGCATTTGGGGTGGCAGCCAGGATGCTGGCGCTCTCAGACTGAGCTGGAGGCGTGTTCTGGTGTATGCTCCTTGCTGCCAGAGCACCTCAATCTGTTTTAAGTGGATTCAGGAAGAGTAAGTACTTGACACCCAAACAGATCAATCTAGAGCTGCAAACCCTAAACCTCCAACAATTAGGAGCTAGGTCCTGAAATTCTTGGGGTGACTGCCAGAGATTGAGTGCAGAGCCTTTACTGTTCAGCTTTCTGTGCTAGGAGTTTTCATTCACTAAATAACAGGATGCGAGGATGGGAATCACAAGAAAGGAAAAAGGTTGTGCCTTGTGTCTCTGCCTTCAGGAGTAAGAGAATTGGAGACAAATGTCTGATCATGTTTTGGCAGCCAGCACGTCCTCTCATGCTTGTTACATGAGACAGAAATTCTCTAATCTCTGTTTCGCCTTGTCATAGGAAAACACATTGCTGCTTCTGTGTGAGTGCTGTGCTGAGCAGGCATAGCAGTATTCAGCAGTGCAGTAGTGCTGTGCTCTGCTGTGCTGGGCTCTTGGGAGACACAGTTGTAACAAGTATATCTGTAAATGTCTGAGATATCTAAGTTTTGAAGTTGCAGAAAGCAGAAAATCAGATTTCCCTTCTGCTCATGGAATGATATGCCTTCTGGAATGATATGCCTTTCATATATGCTTGTGACTCTGTGTGTTTTGTCCTTGGAAGTAATGCAGCCATCTGAGTTGGGCAGTGAATTTATTTTTTTAAGGTACTTTTAACATGGAAAGTGCAGATGCATGCAGGAACTGAATTTAGTTGTGAGTCCTGTGATTTAAAACTTCTTTAGGATAATGGGCACTGTCTTCTGGGAGATCTGAGCATCTCCAACCCTTAAATAACCCAGGTATTTAAATAATAAATAATATAATTTAAATAATGTTATATCACATGACATTCAGCATAGAAGCATGGAGCACCTTGCAGGACCTGGAAATAATTCTGTCTGAATTTTCATGTAGGGTAAAGCTGCTGCTCTGATTGAATAGCCATTGCTACTCTAGAGTATCATTTTAAAAAAAAAGATTTGTGGATTTGTTTCTTTAAGAACACAGAAATGATTTAAAAATATTTATTCTCATTAAAACAGAACCTGAAGGGCTTTTTTTGTCTGTATATTTGTTTGTTTACTTGATTTTTTTTTCCTTAGAACTATTTTGATGGAAAACTTTCCCCTCAAGGGAAAATGCCTTGGATTGAATACAATCACAAGAAAGTATCTGGCACCGAGTTCATTATTGACTTTTTGGAAGAGAAACTTGGAGTGAATTTAAATAAACACCTTGGTCCACATGAAAGAGCTGTTTCCAGAGCTGTGACCAAAATGGTGGAGGAGCACCTGTACTGGTAAGCTTGCATGGCAAAGCTGGCTGTGTTCCTGTGCTGTCAGATGTGTTCCTGAGCTTGGGCTTCGACACAAATGCTTCTTTTCTCTTGCAGAAATCTTGGGTACCCAATTATTAACTTCACAACTCTCTTCATCCTAGGAAATTGCTGCTCCTTTATGTGTGCAGTGGTATGAGCCAGGGATAATTATTTTGAAAAGCTGTGCTGTGCAAGCACTGAAAAGTCAGGCCCTTTGACTGCAGCTTTGTAGAAGGAAGCAGCAGTGGGATGCTCCTCTGTTCAATGTGACTTCTGTACACGAGCAGCCTTGTTAATAAAGACCAAAAGATCAAGGTGGCTGAATGTATTTGTGGTTTGAGGGGTGTAGAGGAATGAATCCAGTGTTCGTGGTGAATCCAGAATGTTGTTTTCTTACTTTTACTGATTTTCATTATGTGTGAGTGATTGCAGTATGGCTCATTGCCTTTCCTGTAACACAGGATTCTCCTGTTGATATGGATTGTTAACAGTTACTGCCCATTGATAATGTCCAGTATTAGTCACAGTATCCTGAGAAGCTGAAATATTTATATGAATGGAGAATAGAAATAGAACCTTTCTGGAACTTTATGCATTTTACTGACACCTTTGAAAATAATTCCTGTGATTTCCTCTGTGCTTTACATTTCTGTCCTTCTTAAGTGCCCTTTCCAGTTTGGGCATAGAGGCATCAGCTGGACATGCACCTTGGATACTGCATTTGCTCCCTTAGCAGGCACAAGGCTTTCTCCCAATAGTTTACTTTCTAGTTTGCATTTAAGTCCTTGCTACACTAAGTTTTGCATTTATGTTGCATGTTTTTTCTTCAAAACGGTGTATGATTTTTAAATTGAATGCATTTACCTGCTTTTTCTTTCACATTTTGATCGAAGATCAGCAGCAATATGTGTACATATAGTTCTTCAAATAATTTTTAGTGTCTCCTGAGAGAACAATTTTAGCACTCAGTAATTAGCATATTGAAGTGATTTGGTTTAGAAATTAAATCTTTGCCTTCCAAGAAGTGTGGCCTTCACCAGTTATACCCATCTGCAGTGTCATAGCCTCCCAAACATGATACAGGCAGCCTGTAAGTTAACTTTTTTTTTGTTCATTTTTCCACCCTCAGTTATTGTGGCTTCCAAAAGGGGGATGAAGCCTTTTAGTCCCCTAATGCTTCATCTCTTTGCCATAGTGTCAGTTGTTTTGTGGTTCATAGATTTAACTGTGTTAAATGTATCATTACTGATGGCAGGCTTATACTGCTGTTGTGTCTCAATTACACAGTGCTTTCCTCTGTGAAGCTGTCATCCATCCATCCAGGCTCCCCTGGAGCTGGCTGGGCACTGCTGGACATGACACAGGCAGATGTGGAAGACAGGTATTGCAAATTCAGGCACTGGTCCAGAGAGGAGGCACCTGTTTTAACAGGTGGACAAAGTTACACGAGGAACAGAGATGGGCATGCCTGGCTGTGTATCCCTGTTGCCTTTCCTGTGTAGTCACACAGAGCTGAGTTCCTCCAAGGCATATATTTTTGCTGCAGTGCAGTAAAAAGTCCAACTGTGAGTCACTGTATGTCCCTCTGGCTGTACCAGAGGCTTGATATGTTGGTGAGGTTAAACCTTGCAATTCCTTGTAGTAGGCAAAGCCTGAGCCATGAAGTGTTGCAGTTGTACTGCTGTAATCCCAAGAGAACAACTTAGCCCATCCTGTACCTACACCAAAGTAAAATCAGGCTTTCACTGTGTAGGACCATATTTCTCCTTGACAGCATTGCATCTGTGGTTGTGGGATCCCTTCACATCTGTCCCTGAACGTTTCCACGAGAAGCTTAGGGTTTTTTCTTGGTGTCCTCATGTCCCACAGTGAGGAATTTGAAACAGTGATTGCCTTTCTGCAGAATGAGGTATATAAAACCAAGCCTCCAAAGCCGTGATGCATAATGTGATTCCTGCTGTTTTGTGCCAGCAGCATGCAAAGTAGCTTCATCATAAATTAGTAATACTGTAGTACATTTATCGGACAAAGAAGAAAAGTACATCCTGTGGTGTGCTGTCTCTGGGTGGAGCTAATCCTGGTGGATGCTCAGCATTTCCTCCAGAAATGTTTAGTTTTGCCAAGCAGTGGCTCATCTCCGGCAGTTAATGCCACTTACATGTAGAAGTGACTGCTGTGGCTGGAGTTGGGAGCAGTGTGGGGCTGTTGAGAACCTCAGCCTCTGGACACCTTCTCTCTGCCCCAGGCTGGGACACCCAGCAGGGCTCAGGCAGGAAGACAGCAAGTGAGCGTGCCTGTTTCCATGCTGGGGTTACACCGTGTCTCTGAGATGCACAAGACTCATTTGGAGCTGGTGCTGGAGCTCCAGTCCCTGGAGAAGGCAGTAAGCCATTCAGCTTTTGCTATGTTTAGTTGGCAAAAGAAAAAAAAAGTCCTCTAAGCTGAATGGGTGTTGAGGCGAGCCAGCAGTGAAGAGATGGAAATGAAATAATTTTGTGACTCCCACTCCAGGCCTGGATCCAATGCAGACCTCTGCCATCTGCTGTAGGCCTGCTCTGAGTTACCTCCACTGCCTGCAGTGACCCATGGACCCCCTGAAACCAGTGGGGCACCCTAGGCCACCTTTGGGGAATGCGTTGAGTTTTTGGTGTAACTGCAGCACATTTGTGGGATCAGACCTCTGATTAAGAGAGGTCTGAGTCTCACTTCCTTCTGGAGCTGGCATGCTGGGCTCAACAATACTGCTGGGATTCAGGCCAGGCAGCTCCTGGGTGCCTGTAGAGCTAGCAGTTGCTGTGAGATGCTTTCTGTCACTTCGATCTCAGGAGACAGATCTTGGGTTGGTGACACTAATGTGCTTAGTGAGAACATAAAGCCTTGAATATTCGGCTTAAGCAGATGAACCCATTAGATTGGTTGAGCTGCATTGTCAAACACAGCTGCAGTGATTTATAAATGTGTGTGTGTGTGTGTGGTTTATAAATGCATGTGTATGGGTGTATATACACTTGCAAATATATTTGACTTGTTTCTTGCTTTGTCTTTCAAGAAGCAAGGATCATATGTGATGAATGCTTGACATACAGGAAGAGCATAATATAAGAATACAGATGAATCTGACTTTGGTCAGTATTCAGACTTGCCAAGTGTTAAACATAAAATATTTTTATAATGTAAATATGTTTAAATACATCAAGCCAGTTTTAAGAGTTGCATCTCTCCTACTGCTAACAGTGATGAGGCTTGAATGCCGCTGGTGGCTTAAAAACCAGTTGCTCTGAGAAGTTGCACAGCAGGTGGGGTTTCTACGGCTGATTATGGAATGAATTTGTTATAATCCTTTTGAATGTCAAGAAATTCTGGTCTGTGCATGTTCAGATAGGAAAAATAACCCCCTGTTCACATCCTTGTGAATGCCTTCCCCTTGCCTGGAAGTTCAGACAGTTTTGGGATAATCAGGCAAGCTGCTGTTGATGAGTCACTTTCTTCATCTCCTTGCCTGATGTATGTATTGAGGCCAAAACTGCTGTTACATTTAGAGTTAGGATTTACTTCACCCTCACAGCATTGCTCCTTAATGCATTATTGTTTTATTTCTACTCTAAGATTTGTACAGATATGCTGGCACAAATAGGAATGGTAATGTTTCCCAAAATGCTCAGTTCAGGCCAATATTTAAATAATTATGTCAGCTCATAAATACTTACTTCAGTGTAAAATGTATAGTTATGATGGACTGAAGTAGATTATTATGTAGACTACCCAATTTCTGGGATTTCCTAACCTTCTGTAATATTGATCATCCTCCACTAATGTAGTTTGAATATAGGAGTGATGGGTGGAATTAAATGCTGAGATGCATATTTTGGCAGAAACCACAAATTAATGAACCCTTGAATAGAATTCTTTTAACTCTTCCTGAATTGGAGCCTACTTCTTTCCTTGTTTTGTCTACTCAGAACCATTACATTTTGGAAGTAAATTCTATTATTGTCTATTTAGCTGCCTTCATTGCCCATGTAAATTTGAGATTTGGGACATGTAACAATTTTGCTCATTTCAAAGGGACAACCAGATGTCTGAAGATTTGTGCTTGACAGTTTAGCCTATGCAGGATTACCTAAATTCTGTGTAGTTCTCTGTTGCTGTCCTAATCATTACACACCTGATCTAATTTCTGCCTCTTCCAGACCCAAAGACCTTCTCTGCCAGGGCAAGCAAGTGAGCTCTGGGGAAGTGTATTTTTGCATTAAAGTATGGGCCAATTAGTTTTGTGGGAAACCTTGTTCATTTTGTTCATTCTGTTTCAGAAATTAAAACAATTTTGGACATGGTTGATCACTCTTGGTGCGATGCCAGCTGGTCGGAGTGAGCAAGTTTAATCTTGTGCAACTGGGGTGACTTAAAAAACACTGCAATGGAATTCCTGTGTTCTTTTCCTGTTTTGTTTTGACTTCTTTTTCTTGTTGCCCTTCTCCAGGCCAGGCCTGTTGTCCAAAGTAACTAAATTGTATTGCAGAGATGAAGCAGGTCAGGTCCATCCTGGGGAAGGAGGGTCTTTGCAGCAAGGCAGAGCAGTGCTTTCAGAGAGCAAGTTCTTCTTAGCTTATTCAAATAATAAATACTAATTTAGAGAATAGGAGAGGAACTCATTCAGAGCAGCACTGTGGAGAAGGACTTGGGGGCTCTGGTGGATGAAAAAACTGGACATGAGATGGCATCCTGGGCTGCATCAAGAGAAGTAAAGGGAGGAGATTCTCCCCTTCTACTCTGTGTTTGTGAGACCTCACCTCTTTCCAGCTCTGGAGTCCCCAGCATAAGAAAGATCTGGACCAGTTAGAGCAGGTCCAAAGGAAGCCACAAAGATGATCAGAGGACTGGAGCACCTCTCCTGTGAAGACAGGCTGGGAGAGCTGAGGTTTTTCAGCATCAAGAGCAGAAGGCTCCAGGGAGAGCTCATTTTGGCCTTCCAGTACTTAATCAGGGCTTATAAGAAAGAGGGAGAGTGACTTTTTACGTGGGTAGATAGTGATAGGACAAGGGAGAACAGTTTTAAACCAAAAGAGGAGAGATATAAATTAGATGTTAGGAAGAAGTTCTTTACTTGAAGGGTGGTGAGGCGCAGGTTGCCCAGAAAATTGTGGATGCCCTATCCCTGGAAGTGCCCAAGGCCAGGCTGGATGGGACCCTGAGTAACCTGGTCTAATGGGTAATAATACCCCTGCCCATGGAGCAGGCATCCCTGCAGTGGACATCTAGTTGGAAGTAGAGGATTTTAAGGTCCCTTCCAACCCAAGTCATAGTATTGTAATTGTTTTCTAGTGTTCACATGAAGAGGTTTTCCTATTCAGAGCTGCTGAAGAGACCTTGTCCTTTGCCAGGCCAGTGAAACATGACCAGTGCAACATTCTGCTCTATGGAGTGCCCTTATGCCTTCAGGCCAGCCTTCTTTCCATTTGTCTGAAGCCCTGCTTTACTGTTGTTCCTGGAACAGGGCAGTCTCACACCACACCTTCCAGACAGAGTCAATGCTTTAGGAGTTTCAGTAGCTCTTTACTGCTGCGTTTGTTGGCTTCACATTCCTCCTGCACTGCTGGTGCCTCTGCTAAATCTGTCTCTGATTCAAACTTTGCATTGCTGAAACCTGCTCAATGACTTGAGTTCATCCATCAAGTTTGAAAAATCACAACTGTGCAGAACACTCCATTCTGAAAGTGGTGTTGAAGCATGTGAGCTGCCAGCAGGATGCTTTTGTTATAATTACACAGTGCTGGAGGTTTAGTAATCTGTTGAGGGACAAAGCTGTCAGTAGCAGAGCAGGTACATTTTTGTTCTTCCCTGTTTATACATTTGCAGCAAAGCCTGTTCACACCTCACTGTTACTGACTTCAGTGAAACCAGTTAGAGCAGAAGGCATTGAACTGCAGTGGACCATGTGAGTTTGATAAAATGTACATTATCAAAAGAAGTCACAGGAGTTCTCCAGCAGATGTTTTTTTTTTTTTACTTTCCTTTCTTGAATTAGGTGAATTATATGAGCACTAAGGAAATTATGTGGAGTTGGAAATATGTACAGTGATAAAACTGAAGTCATATTCCAAACTAAAACAATGAAGCCTTGGAATGGCTTGGATTGGAATATGTATATCAATTCCCAGTGTTTCTGAGACCCTGCAGGCTTTCTATGTTTATCTTGTCTACTTTCAGATGCCTTTAGCTGTTTTTCCAACAACCCTTGAACTTTGTGACAAAAGTTCATCTATATAGTCTTTTTGGTTTATTTGTAGTTTCTGAAGATGCTGGATATTAAAAAAGTTAGTGTTTCTTTTTTCATAGGTTTCTGTAGCAACAAATCAATATATGTTTCCCTGTAATATTAATAAATAGCTAAAACTTATGTGGGTAACAAAAATTTAGGTTGCTGAGACAAATTATATAAAAAGACTTTTTAAAAGATACTTTTTTACCATTCAATAAAGCATGGAACACAACAGAGTCCTTTAGAAATGTCTCTTTCAAAAAATCAGTATTTTGAATAGAGGAAACTGTACAGGAGAAAACCAACTCAATAACCACCACCTCTTAATTTTTTATATTTTATTTTTAAAATATCATGTTATTCTTAGTTTCTGAAGAGAAACCTTCTGAAAAATTACTGCTTCAGTATTTATTTTGGAGCAAAGTTACAGCTTGCCTAAGTGTCAGCAGCATAGAAAGGAGAAAGGTTGGTGGGAAAGATTGATTTTTTGGGAGGCTGTTTTGTTGTTGTTTTCCCCAGGTCTGTGCAGTGAGTCGTCTTTATCTAATAAATGCATTTTGTTACAAGAGTTTAGCAGAATTCTGCAGCTTTTACTTTATATTTCAGCATGAATCTTGTTTTCTCCTGAAGTGAGTCACAATGTAATGAGAGAATAAGCACTGGGCAGTCTGCCTAAATACTGTAAAGTGGGTTTGCTCTGCTGGCACTCGGATTGCCTCAGAGTCTGCTGTTTATGGCAGCTGCCTCTCCATCAGGGCAGTGAGCACCTGCCTGACCTCTGTGCGAGCCTCTGGGGGTGGTGTTGGGGATTACACTGCTATAATTTCTTTCTGCATCCTTCCAGGACTTTAGCTTATTGCCAGTGGGTGGAAAATCTTCACGAGACACAAAAGATGGTTTCGCTTTTCGGCCCCTTCAGCGACTTGCTGAAGTGGATCTTCTGCCACCTGACCAAAGGGATCGTGAAGCGGGAGATGTACGGCCACGGCATCGGGCGCTTCTCGGAGGAGGAGATGTACACGCTGATGGAGAAGGACATGCGGACTCTGGCGGGCCTCCTGGGTAAGGTACAGCGGGTTATGGGGCTCTGTTCACAGCCCCTCTCTCCACAGGCTGGAACTGACCTCCAGGGCTTCCTGACAGCTTGATCACACTCAAATAATCTCATTTTGGCAGAAGGTAGAGGCTGTCATTTAGTGCCTTCCTTGCTCTGGCAGAGACACTGTTTTCTTTTCCCACTGTTTGCTGCCAAATTGTGTGTCTAGAGGCATAAGAGGCTTCCTTCTCTGAGCACAGAGTATGTGTATGTGGAGCAGCAAAACATGGCCTGCTGTTTTGGAAGAGCATTTAGTGATATGAAATGAGGAATGCAGTGTTTAGTTCTGCAAATGAAGCCTCTTTATACCTTTTCTGGGGGCTGGGGAGTGTGTGTCTCATTTTTTTTTTCCTGGTTGTATTTCCTTTCCTGTTTTTTATTTGTGGCTGTTTGACAGATTGCTCTGAGGCTGCCATTTGAAAACCCTTTGCAGATGTTATTTTGATGAGCTGAACTTTGTTGTGTTTGGTTGGTGTCAGCAGCTTTATTCAAAGCTCCCAGTAGGAGATGGTTCTGTGCTGTCAAAATACATGTGTTTAAGACTCTTGGTTATCTTGGGTGCATCCCATACAATTAGTCTTAAGGGTGACTTCACTTAGCTAGAATTACATGAACCTCATTTCAGCTGTGTGGCTCAGGTTGAAATATGCACTGGAACTGTTTTGCACTGTGCTTCTTGCCTTCTGCTCCACTGAGAGCTAAGCATACTGTGCATCTGTGTATGACTTGCATTTTGAGGAATTGCTGTGGTGCAGGTGGTCACTTTCCTTGAGCTTATGTCTCTCTTGTGGGAGAAACCAAGAGAGATGGTACCTGTGTTATTCCCTGTAACAATTGCTTTAAAGAGGTGGCTGAGTGGAGGACAGGAGGATGCCTCCCTGCCCTGTGCTCCAGAGGGACTGTGCATGCTGTAAAGAGACAGGTGTGGAGTAGATGAAAGGAACAAGCTGGGGAGAGCCCAGCAGAAGGCTGAAGCTGAGTGCTTGCTGAGAAAGGGAAGGAAAAAACATGTTTCTGGACTTCCAAGCTGTTTTGGAAAGGAAGGTATTTGCAGTGGACCCAAATATAGAGTTTTCTATAACTTTGTTTTCTGAAACAAATCTGTTGAGTTGCTGGGTTGGGAACAGGGTGGGAAAAAACCCATTAGGTGCATGGACACAATGGGCACATGGACACAATGGGCAGGAGGATTAGTTGACAGCTCCTCCTTTAACAGCACTTTCTTATGCTGCCTTTTGTTTGTTAACAGAAGCCATTATCTATTCTAGTGTCTCTTCAGAGACAATCTGTTGTTTGGAGATTAAGAAGTCCCTTTTCTTTGAGAGGGAGGAAGGGAGGGAGCAATTAATTTTAGAAGAGGAGATCTGGTCATACCTGCTGCAGAGCTGTGGCCATCACCTCAGAGGAGAGGTGCTCTCCTCTGTGGGACTGCTGATGTTGTAGTTTTGAGATTGGCACTGTGTGGTTCCATGTTCATCACAAGGAGGAGAGGGGCTGGGACAGGAGCTGGACCAAGTTCACTCTGACTCAGAAGCTCAGCAGAGCTGATTCTGGTTCTGGTTCTGGCTAGACAACTCTGTCAGGCTGAAAGGAGTGGCAGTGGATATGTCTGTGCTAAAGTCATCCCTGTCTACCAAGAGCAGACAGAACCTTCAAAAGAAAACTAAAACATGTGCCTGTAAAAGTATCTTGATTTGCTTATTTCTTTGGAGTGTATACTGACACTGAGATTTGTAAGATTTCAAGTTCAAAGGGATCATTTAATCACCTAGACAGATCTCTGTGGATTGGACTGCTTGACTGCTGTCTTGAGGCCTGTGCCTTTTTGCTGGCTTGGGGATGGCTTTCTAAAAGCCATCCAGTTTTAATTATGAGATTTCAGCAGGTGGAGGTGCCACCATGTTTTGCTGACAGATGTTACTTACTCTCTAAATCTGTTCAAAATTGGACTAGTTTCAAATGAGAGTTTGATTCTAGCCTGCAGACCAATTCTCTTCCTACTTCTTTCTCCTTCCTGGGTGGCTTGGGTCATCCCCCTGTGAAGGTAAATGCTATAATCAGTCTCTGGCTTTTATAGAAAATGTACTGAAAATCCTCAAGCACTTCTTCACTATATCAGATTTTAAATTGTTTTATACATATGTTACCAGCAGAGTTTTTCTTCTTAATTCCAGATTGTTGTTGAGAGTGTACCTGTGTACTTGAAAAAGCCTTGATGGCTGTTTGCTGTATTCCTGTTAGTTTATTATATTACCAGCTGAATGTTGTATATTTTTTTCATCTTCCCCTCTGAAATGGATGTCAGATTAGTCAGTGTGCAGTTACATGAATAATTTTATTTTTCCTTTTGATTATTGATGAGTTTGTCTACTTTTCTGTAATTGCCTTAGTTTTCATTAACATCACTATGCTCCTGTTTCTTCAGCCAACTGTTTATGGTAGGGTTTAGGTAACTGTGGCCTCAAGGTGGTATCCTGGAATGGGGACAGGAGGTGGGATGAGGACTTCCAGCCTGACTAGAGGCTCCCCTGTTTGAAAGAGGAAAGGAGAAGGCAGTCAGTCAGCTTACTGCCTGCACAGTCTTTGTGAGATTCCCCTCCATATATGTGTACCCAAGTGTTTCCCCAGAAGAGAAAGTAGCTGAGATTTTGGCTGTTATCTTAAGAGCTTAAAAATGATGCCTTTTGTGCAGAATAGCTGCACATACCAAACTGTAGCTGTCAGCCATCAGGAATATCAGATTAATGCTCCCCTTTTTTAACAAGGACCATTCACATGGGAACAAAAATAACTTAAAGAGCTGCTTTGAGAGAATGATAACTTTGCAGCTCTTGGTTCTTATGACATGAATTTTGACATTTCCAATCACATCTTTGGTGCTTTTTTATTTTCTTTATTTTTATTTCTGAGAGTAATTTTTCTATCTCCCTTATACCCATTTTCCTGACAGACTCCTCCAGACCTTATAAACATGGAAATTGGAACTAATCCCTCTGTGATGGATCAGCCTATCCCATTGGTATCACCTTTCTCTCTGTCCTGCAGTCTTTAAACCACAAATGTAATTTCCTTGTATTGTAGCAGTTTCCTACTGCCTGGTAATAGTGTAAGAAAGTGTGGGGAATGAGCACATGAATTAGCAATATATAAAAATACACATTTTGGTAATTGTTTAGAAGAGGCAAGTGACCATAAATTTATTGGTGCCCTCTCATCTCTCTGCCTCTCAGGCTCTTTGGTAGATGAGGATTTTGAGCAGGGAGTTGCAGGCCAGCAGCTTCCTGAAGTGGGTTTTGAAAAGCATTTGATGCTTTGGGGAGGGCAGGGGTGCTCAGAGCTGAAAACTCAGAGGTTGGACTAACCTGGATCTGAGCCTCTAAAGTTAGTTAAATGCCCTGTAGCAGCCTGCAAGTGCTGTAGCTGCCTCTGTCTGTCCCACAGACCTGCTTCTTGCTGGGGTTTCTTCACCCACTGTTGAAGTAGCTGTTTTTGAATCCTCTGGTGCATGCATTTGTAAACAGTGGAGTTGGGTACTCTCAAATTCCTGTGAATTCAGTACAAAGTTGATCCAAGTCCAGTGTGACCAGGTGATTTAATTTCTGTTGGATTAGCCAGGGGATGCAGAGGGGTGTTTGAGATGATCAGTGCTATGGCAGCCTGGATGTGACAGACACTGTGTAATCCTGGCTAAAAACAGACACAGAGATATCTGGTCTATCAGAAAGTCTTCTGGACTAAAGTTGCACTGGAAGCTTTGAGAACACATTGGGAATGGTGGAAGAAAATGTGCACAGGTGCCATATTTTGTGGTGCAGCATGACTTAAAAGCAGATTTGGAGTTTTATGACCCCACAGTTTCATTTTCTCCTCTTCTTCTTTGTTTCCATGCATATGAAGGTGTGGGGTGTTGTGCCTAGGGAACCAGAGGGTGGGATGGTTTAGCCCTCACTCAGAGCCTGCTTTAGTTGTAGCAAGATGGAAATGACAGTATTTCTTCCCAGCACAACATCACTATGGATTGAATCTCAAGACCCAGTTGTATGGTGCTAAATTCCTGCTGCTGGCATGTAACTGTGGTTTAGGGACCCATTTTTGAGCTATGTTTGAGATTGATGAGTGCTTAGGTGTCAGATAAATACCGAAAAGACACAACATTTACCCTGTACAGAGTTTTCAAAGAATAAATTGATGGAATCATGGAAGGAGCTGGGGAGAGTTAACTTCATGTTCAAATGACATCTGACAGGCCAGAGAAGGTTGTTGTTACTGGGTATTCCTGAGCACTGTTTTGCTGTGCTCCTGTGCAGGGGCTTGGCAGCATTCCTTGGACTCTGGAATTTGATGCATTTTACACTGGAGAGTTCCTCTGGACTTGCTCAATAAACTGAACATTGAATAACCTGCTGAATTACAGGCAGCTTGGAAGAATGTCCTGGGGAGATGGGATAACTGGATTTTGAGAATTCAATTAGGTGCCACATTTCACAGAGTTAATGGCACTTTGGGCCGAGGCAGGAGCAGTGCAGCCAGCTAACCTGACCTCTGCAATACTTCATGTTTCACTTTGTGCTCTGTGCCTGGTCTTTGTTCCAGGTCTTCTGCCTGTGATGGGAAGACAAGTCTACAGTGGATGTTTTGTTGCAAACAGTGGCTTTGAAACATGTATTTTCTTCCCTTAGTTAGTTACCCATCTGTTTGTGCTGTGTGGCTCTTTAGGACCATCGTGATATTGGGGTGCCCAGAGAGGTAAAGCAGAACTGCTGTGAGGAGCAGACATGTCCCTCCACTGCCCCAGGCCAGTCCCAAAGGGCTGCTGTTTCACTTAGTGCCTGGCATGCCTCTGAATTCTCCCTGTGAGGGATCAGTGGGGGTGAGGGCACTGCAGTGGTGGTGTGTGAGAGGACCTGTCCATTCCTGCCCATGGCTTTGTCCTCTTCCTGGAGATGCAGGTTATTTCTGAGCACTTGCTGCAGGTCTGACTGGTGCATCCATTTCATCCTGAACAAACAGGGAGAGAGGAAAGCTTTGGGTGTGACTTTTCTTTTTCCAGCTGATCAGATGAGAAAATTGAACCTGGATCTGGATGAGTGGGAGGTAAAGGGTGACAAACTTCTTTCAGCAAGTTCATGATTTTGAATCGTGTTGAGTGGTTTTGGGTTTGCAGCAAAGGCAGAAATGGTGTTTTCAGGCATCTTGTAGCTGCAGAGCAGATTTTAAATGCAGCAGAACGAGTACATTTTGTGAACACTGCCAGCTGTGAGGAGCAGAGGAGGTTCCTTGGCCAGTGGTGGCTCTATAATTGGCCTGCTTATAGAAGTCTTGAGCACAGGGGCAACTGCAGTAGTAGATTTCACCTGCTGAATCCTTGAAACAGTTTTGGAATCCCTGTCTTTGGACAAGTGAACCTTTTCATTGGAATTATTTAATTAAAATAAATATGCTAAAGGTGGAACTGTGATTTTTCTTTTTTTCATTTGGGGAAAAGTGACATCCAGTCAAGAAATATTTGCTGTTGTATTTACAGGTGACAAGAAGTACATTATGGGATCAACTGTTTCTACTGTTGATGCCACTGTCTTTGGGCATCTAGCACAGGCAATGTGGACATTACCAGGGACTCGACCAGAGAGACTAATCAAAGGTAAGAAGGCATGAGTGAGCTCTGATTAAAAGCTCTTGGTGGCATTTTTCACTTTTCAACTTGGAGTACCTTGGAAGGATATTTTGAAGACTGCAGTTCTTCAGCAGACTGTTCTTGCCTTTGATGTAGCATTTGTATCCTGTAATATTGTTTTCTCTTAAAATTCTTTGTTTTCTCTTTAATGTTCTACGCAGTAATTGTTTTTATTTCTGTACTTGATCTTTTCCCTGTTTAATATGGCAAAGCCTTAAAGCTTCTAAAGAGCGAATGCTGGGTGATGTATGAGAAAACAGAACAGCCATTAGCCAAATTCTGCTGAGCTGAGAACTTTCCTTGATAGTAGAACTGCAAGTGCTGTTGTCTCACTGAAATTACAGCCTTTGCTGTTCCTGAAGATTCCAGGCAAGGAAGAAATCCAGCTTGGTTTTGGAGTCACTTTGCTTTTGCATGAATTGGAAGCCAACATACCCCTTCTTCCCACAGAAGGTTGTTCTTTGGTTTGGTTCCTTTTTGTTGGATAAAGTATCTTTGCATCCATTTTCATAGTAAAACCACACAGCATGAAAAATGGGAAGAGCTAAGGAGGAAAAGGATGTAAAATAGTGTAAAAGGAGAGAATCTGACCTGTAAACCTACTCTGTGCAAGACAGCTCTGCTAAACCTGTGGTGAAGAGGGACAGGCTTACTCTTTTCCTCAGATAATGAGGAAAGGATATAAATATTGGTTATGCAGTTCTTCCCCTTGATGTCTGGAGCATCACAGGTAAAATTCTGAAGGGCTCATGGCTGTCTAGAAGGATTACTATGCTTGTTGAATTAGTCAGTCTCTAATGAAAATAAATAGAAGATAATAGATTGAAATACCCAAGCAGTGTGGTTGATTCTCTGTACCTATCAACCTGCTTATGCTGTCACGAGTACAGATTTTGCATTCACCTCTCCTTTAACACGCTGTTATTTCTTTTTTGATTTTTTAAATGATTTATTCTGTAAGCATACATGTATTTATAAACAAGGCGTAAGATACTTCGGCTGGGAGCAGTAGGAGTGAGCCGGTGGCCATATTAAATGTGAATTTATGTTGCAGACAACGCTGCCATCTGGTGGTGAAAACCCCACATTCACTGTATTTAATAAGCATGCTGTGCCGTCTAAAGATCAAATTCTGTCTTTAGGAACCAAATGTTTGCAATTAAGCAAAAAGTTCTACTACAGAAACTAGTATTAGTGTCTTGTCTTGACTTCTTTTTGTAGAGGTTGAATTTGGGATACTTACTTTGTTATTTGTGTGACCATGAATTTGTGCTTATTCCTGTGTAACCCTTCTTGTATGTGGTTACATTAAAATTAAAAACAGCTGCTAAGAGGATTGATGGCATCTTGGAATTTTGAAACTTCTTTGGAAAGGCCCTACACAGTTTGTTTCCTAACACAGCTAATGTGTTTTTGCATCATCAGGTGAGTTAGAGCATTATTGCCTGGATATATTTACTGAAGTCTGTTGTGTTGTGTTGCAGGTGAACTGATTAACCTTGCTATGTATTGTGAAAGAATAAGGAGGAAATTTTGGCCAGAATGGCACCATGATGATGACAACACTCTGTATGAATCTGAGGAAAGCAGCGAAGCAAGCAAGACTTACTCCCCTTTGCAGGACTTCAGTTTTTATTCAAGGACAGAAACATTTGATGAGGAAGGGAACAGTATTTCCCAAACCCCTGACACAGATTACACTGGACACTCCCTCTTTGACTCAGATGTGGACATGGATGAGTACAGAGATCATGAACAATGCAAGTGATGTGTACAAGTGTCTCTCATTGTGCAGATAAGCTGTTTCTTGGGATCACTGATTTGTTTTCTCCTTCAGGTCAGGAAGAGGTTTATACCACTTTGGAAGAGACCATTGTGCTTGATTCAGCTGTCACATACTGCTTGGACTATTTCAACTGTATTTTGTTTTGTGTAATTGTTCAGGTGGACCAAGGTAAACACATTTAAAACACACGTGGGCAAACTGGAGGTCTAGAGGGCAGCAGGACCTTCCAACCTGTTTTTGTTCAAGTTCAAAACCAGATCCCCCCACCCCGCCATCGAAGTGGGATGAACTTCTGGGAAGTGGAGCATTTGTCACAACTGGTTTGTGTTGTTATCTTATCTTTACAGCAACGGGTTGAGGACAAAAATGGAAGAGCTATGACTGGCACAGCTTTCTTCCATCTAAGAGAATGATGGATGCTGTAATGAAAATGCCCTGATGGTGTTGGTTGACTGCCATGTCAGCATAAGCCAGTGGTGTTCTGAGGTGCATCAGATTCATGCAGCACCCTGGCCTGTATCAGCAGCAGTGTGGCCAGCAGGACCAGGGCAGTTATTGGCCCCCTGTCTCAGCACTGGTGAGGCTGCATCTCAAGTCCTGTGTTCTGTTGTGGGCCCTTCACTACAAGAAAGTCATTGAGGTGCTGGAGCATGTCCAGAGAAGGACAATGAAACTAGTGAAAGGAACTGGAACACGAGTCTTGTGAGCAGCAGCTGAGGGAGCTGGGGGTGTTTAGCCTGGGGAAAAGGAGTCTCAGGAGAGACCTTATTGCTCTCTACAGCTGCCTGAAAGGAGGTTGTGGCAAGGTGGGGGTTGGTCTCTTCTCCCAGGTAACAAGCTCTAGGATAAGAGAAATGGCCTCAAAGTGTGCCAGGGGAGGTTTAGATTGGATATTGGGAAAAACTTCACTGAAAGGGTTGTCAAACATTGGAAGAGGCTGCCCAGTCACCAACCCTGGAGGTATTTAAAAGCCATGCAGATGTGGCACTTCAAGGACATTGTTTGGTGGTGGACTTGGTAGTGCTAGGTTAAAACTTGGACTTGATGATCTCAAAGGTCTTTTCCAACCTAAAAAGATTCTGTGATTTGGCAAAGTTTCAGGGGAATTTTATTTGATAGCTACTCATACTTTGGGTATTACAGGGTCTGCAGGAAAGAACTGCTCCCAGTTCTTTTGGAGACAGTCAGGGAAGGATGGAGGAAAACATAATCTTGCAGAAAGGAGCTGGTTAGTGTTTCTTGTTCTTTGCAGAGGGTTGAAATCACTACTCTAGAATACATTAATGCAGGAGGGAGATGTCAGTGTTAACTCATCTGGAATGTGTATTGGTCAAATTTCTTCTGTGTTATTGAATTATTATGTTTTTACTCCCTGCCCATGGCTGCTGTCTGCTATTTCTAGGCAAGGCTAAAGAGCTGGGATTTGTTGCTAAAAGCCTGGTGTGTGTCAGCAGTGAGTGCTTTGTGTTCCTTACCAACAGACAAGAAACCCATGAAGGTGGCAGAGCAGTTTGAGGTGTTAGTAGGCATGGGATGCTGTGTAGCTGCAAGCTGTTGGCCCAGGCAATTGAATGTTTTATAGCTGCCTTGGGAGGTGCTTCAGGGGGTGCTGGGCACTGTGCTGGCTTGCAGTGCACAGTCCCTAAAGCTGATGCATGGGAGGAGGTGAGATGGGACAGTTCCCTCAGCACTGCCATGTGTGTGGGGAAATTCAGATGCTGAAAGCATGACCAGAATTTAATTTAACTTGCCTTTGCTGACATATCTGTGGATCTGGATCCCAAAATGATTGCACAGGTTCTGACATGCTTCACGTTCACGTCTCCCTAAATGCAGGTTAGAGATGAGAATGAATCCATTGGATTTACTCACAGCTTTGAAGTTAAGCATGTACTTCAGTGTTGCTTGGCCATGATTTGTTGATTTTGGTAGAGAGAGAGCATATCAAACATACTGAGCTGTTGTGTTTTTGAATATACATATAGAATTGGGTATTTGACTGCAGACTTTGTTGGTGGCCTACTTTAATTATGACATTCTCAGTGACTTACAGTTAGATGAATCAGGATCCCTCAGCAAGTTTTTTTATAATGTGTTGGTTGTACCAAATGTTCTAGGAGCAGACAGGGCAGACAGCTGCTTTAGGATGTTAATTGTTGGTAGTTGTAGTGAGTCTGGAGCTTGAAATAACTCCAGCACTCAAAGAATACCTTGCTCCCTAGGATCCTGCAGTGCCTCCTGCAGAGGAAAGTGCCTGCCCTGGGGAAATTTGGAGTTAGCCTTGGCTTTGAAAGCAGGGACACCTTTGCCTGCACTGAAACCCAGGACTGTTCATGCATGGGAGCCACTGCAGTGAGAGCTGACAAGTTTGGTGTGAATTTGCACCTGTTTCCACAATTCCCTAGGCATGTCCTTGGAGCCTTATTCCAGTCAATGTTGTGGGCAAGTATGAATGGCAAAGTGAACCAAAACCGAGGAGGAAGATATCATCCAGTTACTTGGGACCCTTCTCAGGAAACTAAGCACAAAAATAGGACACAAGAAGAGAAGTCTTGGGCTTGAAAGTGCAGAGGTGATGGCCTGGGTAACTCCATGGCCAAGTCAGGAGAGATTTTATCTGCAAAAATGTAGGTATTGATATTCTGAATAAAAGGAATCTGCACCAAAAAGCTCCTATTTAAAATCATTAGTGTGTTGGAAATTCTGATGGAGATGTTCTCATTCATTTACTGATGCATGTTTGAAGGCTGTGCTTTCTCTATTTGTTCAGCATTGCAAGTTGTGCTTGCAGCAGATGAGTCCCAGTCATTAAAAGACCATTAAAGGATGGTCAGACCTCTTTAAAAGGATTTTATCCATGCATTTTTTTTGAAAGCTGTCTTGATAAATTGTTGTGGGGAAACAAACAAACAAACAAAAAGTTTAAAAAAATAAAAAGTGTTCATTTGTTTTGGATTGCATTGGAAAAAAAAGATGTGTTTTCTTAAAAAGGGAACAATTGGTTTTGACTTTCCAAAATTTTGCTAAAAGAACAACATTTTCTTAGTCCTGCAGTTTGTTTTTTTTCCCATTCCATCATATCTATTTTTAATGTTAGTGCTAAGGGGCTGTACAGAACTAAAAATAGAGAGCATCTTAATTTCCTTGTGGTTTTTTTTTCCTTTTTCTTTTTTTTTTCCTCCCTCACTGATCAAAATTTGAGCGAGTCCATTGTAGGGATGCTGGAGATCCTGATGGTGCTGCTGTGGGGGTTGAGGGTCAGCAGGTGTCTCTGCAGCCATGAAACCTGCTGGGGACAGCTGTGGGTTGCCAGCTGGGATAGCAGCTCCTGCCAGGAGCTGGAGGCTGATGGATGCCAGGACATCATGTCTGAGGTGACACAGAACACAGAAGGTTTTTCCTGGTTGCAGATCCCTCTGCCACAGCCAGAAACTCCCTGTGGGGTGATGTTAGGAAGGGTTCAGGAGCCACTGTTGTACTGGATGGGTGGGACCCCTGCCCTGCTTATGAGCTGGAGCATAGCCCCAGTCCTAGTGAGGAAACAGCACTGTTCCTCCTGGTTACTTTACCCTAAATACTGCCAAAGGCTGAGTACTGCCTTTGTGTTTCCATAGTGCTGCTTTAAAGGAATGAGTAATTGCTCTGCCCCTCATTTGGCAAAGGGGAGTTCAAAGCAAGCCCTGCATTTCCAATGGAGTTAGATTTGAAGCAGTCTGTTGGTTTTTTATCATGTGAGTGGCAGTGTTTGACTGTGTGACACTCTGCCATGTCAGAAGGGATTTGTTTACCCCTGTCGGTCTCACTGGCTCTGTCAGCAGAGCTCACTGTTACCGAGTGGGGGAAACAGGCACTGGGATGTATAGGTCCTACAGAAATCCTGCAAATGTGGTGTTTGATTTAAAAACCAAACTGAACCTGATGTTTCAGATCTGGAGGACTGTTTCCATCCAATTATAGCACTGCAAGTAACACATTTTGATCTTTAAAACCTTGGCAATGTCCCTCCAGATCTATATTCTCTTTGAAAAAATACTGCCTGAAATATTTCTGCAGCAACAGTTCAGGCACAAATTTGCTTTTGTCAGTGATGTCTGCTCAAGTAATCATGACAGTTTCATACTGTTTTCCTTGAAAGGCCTGTATCTGTCAGATGCTAAGCCTTACAAAATATTGCCTGCTGGAAAAGCGTGTTATGTGCAGATTTATGCAGGGCAGCTCACCAAGTGAAATTTCTGTGGCAGGGGATGAATTCAAGTGGGTCTTGTCCTTAGATGTTTGAATAAGAATTTGAAGCTGTTTTTTGACAAGTAGCTGTTTGGCCTAGTCCTCCTTCCCTCCCCAAATACTGCAAAATTATGATTTAGGCATGTGATACTAATAAAGCAAATTATGCTCTCTAAATGCAGAATTAAATTGGATGATCCAGTAGCTGGGATATGGAAATGGGCACCCACAGGTGTGAGTCATGGCCCTATCTCTCAGCAGCTGTGATCCAGAGCAGCATGCAGGTTGTAGTGTTTAATCCCATGGAAGCAGAGGACTAGAGGTAACTCTGAATGGCTGCAGTGGCGTTCAGCAGTTCATCTGTGCTATGGGGTATCCATGTATGCTGTGCCTTGGGTATTCCTTAGTGCTGGGTAGATTGTGCAGGGGCTCATTGTGGTAGCTGTGGCTCCTATGGGGCACCATCCTGCTGTCAGCCTGTGCTGAGCTGCAGAGCCAAGGGTCTGTTTGGGAGTGAGCCTTGCAGTGAGCAGAGCTTTGAGCCTGCTGGTGAATGTGGGCTGTTGTACTGGTGTCCTGTGGAGGGAAGTTGTTCCTGCACACTGCACATGTGCATTCAGTTTTCAGGGCAGTGACCCCAGTCTTCACAGCTTGGCCTTGGTGGAGAGAAGGGTTGCAGCAGGAATCAGCTCTGTCTCGCTGCTTTGGGGCAGTCCTCTCTTTGATGGCCATTGGGGAGGGCTTTGTCTGTGTTCATTCCCTATGGACATGCCCCAGTGTGAAATACTTCCTAGCAAAGGTTTCTGCAGCTCTCTGAGCAATTTGGAAAGTTAAATGGTGTTAGTCTGTGTACAGCACAGGAATGCCAGTCACTGAAAGCACTGTGTGTCACTAGAGTGTTAAACCCTTAGTTCTGTGTCCTGGTTGCACCACTCCCAGGTTTTTCAAGGCCAAGGAGATCCTTATGGGCTTTTGGTCAGACTTCAGCATGAAAAGGTTTGTGGGATTTCATGTAATGATTTACACATTCAGCTCAACAAGTTACAGCTGAAACATATGCTTCCAAAAGGCATTCAAGTTTTGTGGAATAAATAAAATCCTGCTCCACTTTGAAGTCGTTGACAAAAGTGCCATTTGCTTCAGTGGTGCTGGAGTTTCCAACAGAGCTTCCAAACGACCCTGAAATTACGACTTCTCTCATTCCTGTCTAATTATACTTAAGTAAAATTTTGCTTTATTGGGGGCAGTAAGGCAAACAAGATGTGACTGTTGTTCTTTTTTAAGCTCCCTTAAAAAAAGTGCTTTTTTTGTCTGCACTGGTCACATTGGTATTTTCACTGGGCACTATGATTGTGTGTGTTCTTCTCTCACTTCTTGATTTGTTCTTCTGATTTATCTTTCCTCAAATGTACAAGTTCTTATTTTTCAGGATACTTGAAGAATGCAAGTCCCAAAGACAGGGGTGTGCAATCCAGCAAGAATAAAGTTTATGTAGATGTAAATGGGCAAGGGATATTTCCAGCTAGCTGCAGTGTACAAGGTTTAACTAACAAAATGAAGCAACACATTTCTAAATGGGGACTCTGATGCTGCAGCTGCATTATGTTGTTTGTCTATGAACTACACGAGACATACATTATTTTAGCACTGTTATTACTAGTTTATAAAGCCATATTTAAAATTGTACACTTGATTGTAACATAACTTTAAATTGTGCACTGTGTTGATCAATGTACATATATATGAAGATCTGTATATTTTGTCTTTATGCTGTATGTCATTGGTGTGTAAATTACAACTAATGGATCTAAAATACCTTTCTGGTTCATGTCCTTCTTCTGTGTCTGTGCTTTCTGTGGAGCTGTGAACAGCTGAGAGTTGCTCTCTTGAGAGCAGGGATTGCATGAAACTTTAATGACCAGTCAGTTAAACCCTCATCTCCCCAGGCAAATACTTTAGCCGCCAGCATTGTTTGAATGGAGTCGTTCTGTCACTGATCCCCCCTCCCCTTGACACTCAGGAAGGATTTCAGGGTGTAGCACAAGAGGAAGGACTGACATAAACTTGGGTGTGAGGAGGGGGGTCCCTGCTCTCCTCACTCTGTTTTTATAGTAGGCAACTCTGTCAGGAGTGCAGAACCTTTAAGGTCTTTGCTCAGAGCACTGTGGTAGCTACTTTCACTATATTTTTGAAAATTTTCAGCAAGTCCTTATCCAGGCTTAGTGTGCTGCCCCAAATGCAGCAGAGGGGCTGTGTGACAGGAGATGGGACCTGGCTGGAACAAACACAGGGAGACAGGAGGCAGGCAATAAAGGTGCAAAACTATGCACAGGTCTTTCAGACCTCACAGAGGCCTGACATCAAGTCCAGCTTCCTAAGTGATAGTGTCAGTGCTGCATTAAAAAACAAACAAACAAAAAAAAATCCCAGAACACCCAACTCTAACTACCAAAAATAATACAATCCCCCAAAGAAAACAAAAGACAAGTCAAGCCCAAGTGTGTAGTACCATGCTAGTAGATTGCTCCTTTCACTGCCTTAAACTTCTATGATTGGTGAGGTTGTTTATAGACTTTTTCTCTCCATGAAGGCTAGAAATTTCAATGAATTTAATAAACATGGGGGTCAGAAACATGCACCTATTGAAACATTAAATATTGCAGGCTTGGAAGAGCTGGCAGCCAAAGCAGAATCCTGTCAAGTTCAGGGGTCTCTGTTCCCAGTGAACTTCTGTCTTGGCGAAATACTCGCAAACTCTGTTTATCCTCTACTCCCAAAAACTTTAAATTGGGGCATGTGAGAAATATTCTGGATGCTGCACAGTAGTTCTGGGCCATATGGGCACACACAGCTGCTCACTGCAGCTTTGTCAGTGGGAATTTGGTCAATTATAGTAACTGGCTGTAAACCTGATCCTTACTTCAGAGAGTGCTGCCAAAAAGCTGAGGGTGGGTGTCTGAGTTCTCTGCTTGAGGAGATGGAGGCAGGCACATGGTCCAAGGGTGCCCCAGGACAGCAACCCTTGGGAAACTGCCCAGATAAGTTCCCTGGAAAGCCATTTATCTATTGGCCAAATCCTGCATGGCAACATCCCTACTCATTGAAATGGGATTCAACTAGGTGACCTATAAAGGTCCATTCAACCCCAAAACCTTCCAATATTGCTCATTTCCCAGTTAAATTGTTCACAGCAGCTTATCAGGTCTCTGCCAGCTTTTCCCTCATGCTGGTGTCTGTTGTGAGATGGGCTCAAGGGCGCAGGGTGGGTGCCCAGTATGTCCTGGGAGACCTGAGGCATCTGTGTAGAGAAGGCCGGCAGGATCCAGGTAAAACCAGGAGCAGCAGCTGGAGGCCAGACAGGCTATCCATAGCATCTGAAATGATGGCTGAAGAGCTGCAAACAAATCCTACCTAAATGGAACATCTAAAGGGAAAATGAAAGTGATGGTGGTGTTGCAACTAATGTTATTCAATGTTTATGTTGTGGTAGGGCCCAAATAATCTGGCCAGCATGAGTCCTTGCATGCAGTGCTCTTCAATGGCTCAGATTCACTACTGTGAAGTTTGCAGTCTGTGAAAAAAAAGGTGCAGCAAGAAAGAGAAGAGAAAGTCTCAGTTCAGTGTTGGTGTGCATTTAGCCATGAACATTTGGTTTTATTTTCAGACTTTTCTAGGCTTCTCTAGGTGCCTGCATTATTGAAATCCATGAAGATCTGCTCTGAGTGGCCGTGCAGCCTCAGGGCTCCTCAGCAGAGCAGAAGTGTCTGCTGTTGGGTGAGCAGAGCTGCTCCTGCTGCACTGACTGCATGGACCAGATTTCCCTGGGGGCCTGTGGAAGATGAACGTGGCTCAGGAGTGTACCCTATGGTCAGACATCAAATTTAACACCTCAGTCCCAGGCTGAATCCCACCCAAAACCAGTTGTGTCTTTACCTGGAAGCCCAGTGATCACATCTACTTCGATACTTTTTCTGGACCATGATGAACCATTTCAGACAGAGGAAGTTGTTCAAGGGAACTTCAGATTTCAGAACACTGAGCACTCCATGGTTAGGAAATACCAGAGTTCCATTGCACATGTAGTTTTAGTGCCACCTCTTTTTGCATAGGTATGGAGTACAGATTTCAATTCTTTCTTTTTCTTCCTGTTTTCTTTTCCTTAAGACCTCTGCCTCATCTGGTGCAGGAGGTAGAGACTGATGAATTAATGATGAGCTGGTGGGGATTTCTTTTGAAGTTTGAACTCCGAGCCTTACTTACTGCACAGGATTCAAGTCCTACAATGGAAGCAGAATGATTAATTTCCTCATGAGCTTCTCTGTGGCAGTCATTACCATGGTTTCTGGGTGCTTCACAAATACTAACAAGATGATAAATGCAGTAATAGACAAGACTAGAAAGATAGAGTTGTCATGAGCCTTGAAACTAAGTGCAAGAAATTGCAATTTGATATAGGAAGCACCAGTGGGTGGACTCAAAGAAAGAAGGAAAGATATAAACAATAGCCATCAAAGAGTTTCTTAGCAGATGCAATTTAAGTGGGTTAGAGGGTCTTAGAGAAGCACTGATTAGGATGGAAATTGAGGGTCTAAAATAAAGACTTGTTTATCAAAATAGGGAGGAAATTTAAACGAGAAAATGTGATGCAGAAATAATAACATTTGGAGAGAGGACACATGGGCTGGCACCAGGCAGATGCAGTTTTTCTGTCCTTCACAGTAGACTCCTCAGTGGCTGAGGGTGTGCTAACCTTACAGACAGCAGTGGAAGGAGCTGAGTTTTCTCTGAGTTTTCTCTGCTTAGGCATGAAGGCTTTGAGGTTGGGCCATCCTTTGGAAGGCAGCATTTCTTTGGGAGCCACCTGAAGCGTGGCTATTATCCAGTAAAGCAGCTTTGATTTATCAACTACGTCTCTGCATAGGGAAATTGCCGTAATTTCACATGCAGTGATTCACTGTGACAAAGAAAACCATAATTACCCGGGGTGCAAACTTCACCGCATGCTAATGCGGCTCTGTGCGAGCAGCGCTGCAGAAATAGCCCGTGGAGCGGGGAAAGGTGATCGCTCCCAGGAGGATCTGCATGTTTGGAGGTAGAACAGCGGGCTCACTCTTGCTTGGGAGAGCCAGGGCTGAACATAGGAAAGGTGGCCCCTACCCCAGCCTTTCTCTGCGCCCAGCCCTATTTTTGGTCCCGCTGCTGAGGATCATCAGTGATTCACTGTCACACAATGATTCAGAAGGGGAAAATGCGAAGGTTTGCTGGTGAAGGAAGCATCACTGTGAAAGCAGGTGGCTCCCAAATGTGTGCATGTTTTGATAGAGCAGGGGGTGAAGTTTGTGCCTTCTCTCTCCTGAGTTGTTGAGCAAGTTGTGAACAGCCCATGCTTTTTACAGCTCCAGAGAATTTTCTTGTAATTTTTCAACTGTTTCAAAGCACGGTTACACATTTTAAAGGTGGGACCATAGCTACTCTGCCTGCCCAGCTTAGTGCTATCTGAATAGTAAATATTCTCCCAGCTATTTTCTGAAATGGCAGCCCTGCTATTCCAATAAAATAATTCAAATATCACACTCACTTTATTCTACATTTCTTAACAAACATGACTTGGGGTTTCATTGTAGCACATAACCAGCAACCAAAATCCTTCAGAATAACAAAGAATTGTGAAAGTGTGAGGATGATATGAAGAATTTCTAGCTTCTGTAACTATTGTTAGGTATTTGATTTCTGCTGAGGCCAAAAGAGGAGAACTGAAGAGGAGAAAAAAGCAACTCCATCTGATACACCATTTATATAGCTATGGATACATTTGGAACCCACTTGGAGCGTCAGAGTGAATACCAGCCTTTTTAAAGCCTGCTTACTGAAGTAGTTCACAAAATCAAATCCCTCAGAAAAGTTGTTAAAGAAGTCTTCATTTCTTCAATTGAAATATGAGTACTTTTACAATAAGCCAAAAAATATGACAAACAAGAATGAATGGTATGACTGTAAAACTAATCTTTCTGTGGTTTTGGATGCATAAATATCAAGTGCTTCATAATGATGTGCCTTGCCTATTATTGTATATATTTTTTAATCTGTACATGGATTGTGGAGAGCTTTGGAACCATGCATCACATGAGCCTGGTAGCATTAGACAAGACCATGTACTGTGATACCATCTGGTAAATAGGCCTGATTGGTGAGTCAGAAGGAGCAAGCATTTAAACAAATGGAGTAAACCAGAAGCTTTGAATAGGAGGAGGATAATAGAAGACAGGCAATCATTTTACACATGCAAGGTGTGAAGCTTTAAAATTCTAGCCAGTATGATTGTAAAGCTTCACGGGGAAGAAAGGGAATGAGATCCGCAGGAGGGTGTCTCTTGCCATCTTATTTAACGCTGTGATACCTGACAATAGAGATCAAGTGGCTGCAGCAGACAAGTTCCTCTGCACAGAGTGTAAGAAGCAGCTTGCTTTATTGCAACTATGGCTCAGGCTGTCTTGAAGTAGCTGCTGGCCAGCTAGATTTTGTGATAAACTTTTACCAGTCTAAAACCAGGCTCTGAAACTTGGTGGCATCTTGAAAGTTTTGGAATGGCTTCTATCAGATTGTCTTAGCATTGAGCATTTGCCATGCTAACAAGGTGAGAAACTTCTGGATTTGCTGCTGACATTTGGGGTTTCCTTTCACATGGGAACTAACCATTAGTAGGTTCTGTGACATCTTTTACTTGCACAAATCTAAGTGCATACTTGTCTCATTGAATTATAAGGCAGGAAGGGGTTCATTCATCATCTAAATTAAACAGTCTCTCAGCTCTATAG